GTGCCTGCTCGACTAGGTGGGAAACTCCTTGAACGTGAGATAGGCGACCGTCTCGAAAACGAAATCCACGCTAAATAAAGTATATCTGATAGCCAGTTTGGTTTTCGAGAAGGGAGAAACCCCATTCATTGGTGTAAACTTTATAGCCCAGCTGACACGCGACGCAATAAGTGGTTCGCGTTGGCTGGGAGGTTCTAAAGAATATTGCTTAGTAGTAACCGCAAACACTGAAAATCCTTTTAATTCGGCGAACTGGGCAAACAGCCTAGACGCAATGGATCATATGAGACCTCAGCAGGTATTAAAAATCGAAAAAACTTAAGCGGAGGGTCCCAAGGCTCTGTGCTCGGTCCTTTGCTATTGAACATTATGCACGACGGAGTTCTTTGCCTTAAAGTACCCACCGCGACCTAGGTAATTTTTCTTGCTGGTGACATCGTGGTAGTGGTTACTGCGAAACACTTAAGCGAAATTTGCGATAAAGGCAATAAAGCCATATAAGCCGTACAATCGTGACTTTAAAAATATGGCTTTAAGCTGACAGAGCAGAAAACGGACGTGGCACTTATCCCCAGCAGGAAAAAGTAAGAAGAGACATTCGACGTGGCAGCATGGGTTGTCGCTAGAATGTACCCCATCGATATACTGGCGGAGGAGGAGGAAAAATGTTTTAGGAGCGAAATTGAATCCTCCGCGGCAAGAGATGGCAGTAGGCAACTTTCGCAACAAAGATCGGACAACTCCCAAACGGCCCTTGGGGGTACCGCTGTATCCCGGATATGAAACGCTGGCTTGACAGCACGCACGGCGAAGTAAACTTCTACCTAACCCGGCCCTTAACTGGTCACGGGTACTTTACTTCGTAAATATACCCTTTTTAACACGAATCTGATCATATATGCGACCACTGCGGAGGGGATGCTAAAAAAGACGTAAACCATGTGTTGTTCGAATGTGCGCGTTTTGTTGGAAGGAGGAGGAAAGAAGATACTCACGCGAATCTTTCGTACGTAGCATGCTGGAAAGCAGTAAAAATAGAGATTAGCATGTGACGCAATCGCCGATACGATGAAAAGATTTAGGACTCTTGAAAGACTAAGCCCTAGCAGCGGCCTCCCGCCACCCTACACAAAGTTGTGCTTGACGGCAGACCCGTGGGGCGCGGAACTCGACGAAAACAACGGGCTTATCTTGGTTTCAAAGTGCCACTTGAGGGAAGTGCGCTGCCACAACGCCCATAAAATAAAATCCCGTTAGGGATGATTCGAGTACGATTTAATTAACGATTATAACCGTAAGGGACGAGTCGAGATTCGACTAACTAATGATCAATGGTACCAGATTGTGAGTAATGTCGGAGTACGCTCTTTCGAGGTTGGTTGAACAATTTTTTGCGGGGATATTCGTGAAAGCTTGTGAGCACAAACACACATACATATTTACAAATGTCTAGATATGCATACACCTGCCATATATAAGTTTGTCGCTTTATGCACAGTGGTCTTGAAACAATGATAGGTATGACTAAAATGCCAACCAAAACTGCTTGCATACCTGTTTTGGAAGGCACCCATACACCATTATGCAGTTGGAATTAAAATCATATCTGCTCCTATGCCTAAAATATTGTCAAATGAAAATTTGGAAAAAATTTAACTGCAATTGTTAGTATTTCTTGTTCAACAGAGTATTCTAAAGTTATCGTTTTGTATATTAAAGTAAAAAAAAACAGATAGTATTTTTCTCGATGATAATATTTCTGGTGTAAGCTATTTGATTGCACATCATGTCTTCTATAAGTCATCCGCAACATAAGTGTAATCACGAAGAGAACAGATTTAAAGTGTGCGCGCCTTGTGGGAGAAAGATTAAATTCGGATCGTCAAAACCTTCAGAATTTAATATAACCGGAAAATTGGAGTGTCTTATTAAAAAATACGTTAGTGAAAATTTTAGATTGACCAATTCGAAGTTCCCATTAGGCATTTGTGGTACATGTCGTAGGGTTCTCTGTGACCGAGATAAGGATATACCAAATGCAACGCGGCCTCTTCCAAACATGCCTAACTATGAAGATTCGACAAAAGAAACAAGAACAACTTCATGCTCTTGTTATATCTGGCTCACTGCTCGGGCAACCAGCCATCCAAAAGTTATACAAGGGAGAGCACATACCTTAAATGTATTGAGTGAAAAAAACTCCACCAATGGGTTGACTGCTTTGTCAGTTGGGTCAGAATTAAAAAATCATGTAAGTAAACTCGAAAGTGAAGATTTATTAGGATTTTAGCATTATAAAGGAGAAAAGCATGCCAGCCAAACTAGGCTAACATTAGCATTTAGGCATGTACATACAAGTGTTGCCCCATACGGGCTTTTCCTACCAAAACTGATAGGTTTCTTTCCATTTGGTAGTTTGATAGACTAGATTGGATTTTGTTACGCTCCGCGACAATAATAGTTATTTGCGAAAAATTGAAGATATGTATTTCTAAATTTTTTAGCAGCACTGAAGACTGGTGTTCTGAAAAGAGTTTTTCAATAAACCCAACCCACTGAAGTCCACCTTTGTACCAAAAGAAGAAATCAAATTGACTAGACCAACCTTGGCAGGGACAGAAACTAAGTTCTCAAAATAGGCAAAGTATTTAGGGGTAACTTTGGACAAAGGCCCAATCGGAACTCAACAAGGGAATTTTATGCCTGTTAGAGACCTAATGGTTAGACTTGGGCTACATCACCCAAACTAACGTATTGGTTTTTCAATACGGTGGCCTGGTGACCAAAAGTTAAACAAGTAAACGCGGGTGCCATCTTGAGCAAGCCGCACCGACTGGTCTGCGTGTCCATTACAGGAGCTGTGCACACCTGTCCAACTGATGCTTTTGGTGTCATTACAAGCAGAACTCCTTTGTCTACTCAAATTGAAAACGAGGCCGGATGAAGCGCTCTACGGCTGCCCAATATCATCAGCATGAAAACATGAGATCCTCGGGGTCAAATGGAGATTCCCAATCCATTCCTGGATGATCCCACTATCAAGCTCACGGATATCATGCCACCGAAGTTATCCTTCTACAATCCCTACAAGGTCAGAATTTCTTAAATGGACTGCTCGGAAGCGGCAATACTATGATTGACAAAGGGTTCCAAGTAAGGTATACCGATGGATCAAATATGGACGACGGGAGTACTGAGGCAGGCATGCTTGGACCAAGATTACAGAGAAGTCTGCCAATGGTCACATACCCAACCATATTCCAGGAGGAAGTCTTCGAAATCGATATATGTTCGCGAATGCTTTCCTAGAAGGATAAATGGTGCCAGAATACGCAATATGTCGCACAGTCAGGCAGCGTTAAAACGGAACCAAGGCTTGTCGACAGCTGTAAATCTCTCGACACAATAGCGTACCGCTGAGATCGGTTACGAGTTTTGAAGGTAACAACCGTCTCGAAAAGCGTGGAGCCCAAATGCGCATGCATGATCCCGAGATTTTCCGAGCTGCATCTAAAGGATACACTGCAGAAGTACTTAGGGGCTGCGAAGAACCTCAGATTGCTGTCCACTCCTTAGATTAGCCGTGTCTTAGAACTCATACCGGCTGCCGGACAGGACACTGCAAGTTAAGGTACCATTTGAATAAAATGGGGCTCGCTGTAGATGCAACAGGTTTTTTGGGCTGGTGGAAGAAGTCGCAGAGCATAGTCTATGTGACTGACCACATATCATGAATAACAGACTGATACACCTTGGATGATTGTCTGATTCATTCAAAGTTTGTAACATGGCAGCTTCCAAAGAGCTTAGCTTCTTTGGTTGGGGCGATAAAGATTAGGGTTTAGCACAATGCATCTTCTAAGGTCAAACATACTTTTGGTAGGTTTTGCTTGATTGTGTTGTCCTTTTCGTTGGAAGTTTGGTTTTACGTCGTGGATCCTAAATCCTGCGCATGACCAGATTCTAAGGCTGTTTTGTTTGAATACACTTTTTTTATAATAAAATGAGGTGCTGGCTTCAAGATAGGTGCTTACTTGCAGCCAAACTTCCTGGTGGAAAAATGCAGCGGACTTCAGTGGACGCTTAAGTAGAATATGTTAGCCCATAAAAGCTTTGTCTCCCATGGGTTGCTCACGTTGCCCACAGCGCGATCATGGACGTGAGGTTGGGCATTTATATAGTCGATCAACTATAACTGGTTACCCGGAAGCCCTACTATACCCTTTTGCACCCACTATGGAATTATTAGTTGTCGGTCGGTTTATAAGTAAGTGTTTAAAATGAATTTCTGTGGCATATTTTTTGATCGCACTACTGAAGGCAGTAATGCTATTGGAGATTTTACCTCCCAAGTTTATGTTTATTCAGGATTGCTAAAATAGGAGATGGGAACGACTCGTCGTAAGTGAGGAGTTAATTATTTTTTTTGCTGATTAAGAGTCAGTGAACGAGTATGTTTGCTAAGATGTACAGACGTTTTAGCGGATTTTCCATTTATTGAACCATAATTGTCTCGAATACACATCGGCTTGAGAACTAAAGCAGCTTTGAAAGTTTTACCGTGAGCAAAAGGCACATGTAGATCCACTCATGGGCACATTAAAGCCATATTATGAATCTATATTTCAATGTAATAGTAACTATTTGACTACTCCGTAAGTGAGAGGTAAGTATAACTTAAGTAGTAACTACCGATATTACAATGGCAATCTAACAATTGGTATGAGTATTCGCTATACTTTAGATTGATTTAGGTATGCGATTACTAAATGTATACAAAAATTATTCATTCTCATTTTCAACACTGTTGCCAATGCTTTATGCTAATATGTATTCACATAAATTTTTCGATTATCATTGCTTACACTTGCATACATACAGATACTACACGTATGTATGTGTATGTATGTATGTATGAATAATCAATTATAATGATATGCATACCTATTGATGTGCGAAACGTTTGGAATTTTGTGTAACTATTGTATATAAAAACTTACTTTTGGATTTGGCAATTCGCCACTCTGCAATGACGCCATGTAGCAACGCAAGCGGAACTGTTCGCAATGTAAACGTTCCAAATTCTCCTCCCATTGCAGGATTTGTGTCTGTATTTGGTGGCGAGTATCCTGGTCGGTAACAACGGATTGCTGCAGCTCAGCCATGTGCTTCAACTTGTGATCCTGCGAAAGAGAAAATACCAACAAATGACAAATCAGTTGAATTCGAACAGTTTAGAAAAACGTATAAACAAGTTGTATTGCGCATATGTATGTATGTATGTACGTATCTGTATAGTATGTTCATAAATATGTACACATGTATTTTTTTTAATAAAACTTGGATTTAAAAATGCGATACCAACAGCCAATGCTGGCGAGTTAAGTGAAAAGTGCAACAGCTAAGAGTTTGTTGTTTGTTTTTGTTTTTTGTCTTTTTTTTTGGAGAGGGAAAAGCTTACTGCTCGCTTTCAGCCGCTGATATGAAAAACAAAAATCTGGAATAAAAACTCATTTCATGTGCAGTCATTCAAGCTCAGCAGGTGTGAAATTTTTCAATCTGAAGTTTTTCGTTTTCATTTTTGTTTTGCTTGTTTCAGTTTAAGCAAGCTCGTCTATTTGGGCCTGTTTATAAATTTGTATGTATGTATGTAGGTATGCAGGTATGCAGGTATGCACTTGTACACTTTTAATCACAATTGTTAATGTAGACGAAATGCGCCAGATTTTAGTGGTTTATTTATATACATGCAGATGTACTTATGTACATATCCATATGTAAATATGTATGTATGGGAAAATCCGAACGAGTGAACCAAATTTCTAGTTCAGTACTATTTTTTTATCGCAAAAAAACGCACCTGTCTGTCAAAAGCAGCGAAATGTGGTAGTTTATAAAAAAAAAATGTTTCTTATTTTTTAAAACTAAAAACACACTTATATCCATACATGAAAATTAGCCTGGTTCAATAAAATATACTTTTCAAATTTTCCCGCCGGCCATTGGGCCGAATGAATAAAAACAAAGCAATTGCTTTTTCTTAAAATTGCATAACTTTTACTTCAATTTTGTTTGAATAAATCGAGTAAAGTTTAAGAGATTTTAAGAAAAAGCAATTGCTTATTTTTTATTCATATGGCCCATTAATATTAAAATCTTGATGTCGCTCATCGCGAATATATATTTTCCATTTAAATAACACAGTAAAAGATTTTTAAAATTTTTAATTTTATGTATATGTAATTCGGTTTTAAAAGAACGTGAGTGAGCGATACTTATGGGTCATTCCATACAATATTTACACCTCAATATTTCTTTTCGGGTGAAATAAATTTTTTTACATTCTTTATCGAAAAAAAGAAGACACCTGGTTTTTTATTTCGTCATGATATTCGAAAATCTCGGAAAAAATCCCGAAATTTTGAGATAAATTTAAAAAAAAAAATTTTGCATTAAAAATTCGCATTTTTTTATATTTTATTTATTTTTTATTAACTTCAGCATGTTTGATTTTTATTTTTTTCAATCTGAATAGTTGCCAAACTTTATGGAGTAAGCTCTAAAGTTTATGCACGCAGGTATGAAAAAACTCGTAATATCTACAGATTTGGTGTTTCCATTCTCAAATTTTTACAGCGTACTCCATAAAGTTTGACAACTTTTCAGGTAAAAAAAAATAAATATCAAAGATGAAGTTAAAAAAAAAAAATAGAAAATGGCGATTTTTTAATGGAAGTTTTTTTTTTTTATTTTAATCTATCTCACACTCTCATGAAAAGCCGAGGTAATTATTCACATTTTGATAACATAACTGATTTTCTCCGACAAATTCTTTATAGTGGTGCACCCAAAAATTCATTTTTTCTCTCTATTCTACATAATTTTCCTTTTAATTGATACTTATATTGTTATTCTACAATGCACTGAATCTTTTACATAACTTTTTATTCAATCATATTCTAGAAATTTCAACGTCCTTTAAAAAAACCCTGACGTCAGAGAGAATAACTAAAACCGCGGTTTTACTATATTTGGCCCCCAGTTTTGTGAATATATTGATTTCTGTCGCACGGTGTTATTAATAAATTCGCGTTTCTCGACGATGGAGCATGAAAATCAAGAAGTAATTGTGAACGACTTCCTCAAAAACCCAGCATGCTCTGTACCAAAATACATTAACTCATTCAAGGAAAATCCTGGGTTGTCGGACTTAGATCGAGCCAAAAAATTTGGAACAAGCAGAAGCACAATTCAGCGAATACGCATAACAGGGGGGCTAGGATCTTATAGTGCCATTAAATATCTAAATCATCTAAATCGTTCTGACAAATAGAATCTTGTAGAAAAAAAACGCGCTCGACTTTTTTCCAACAAACCAACTTTCTGGCCAAAAATGCGATGCGGCCAATAAACGAGGAAATTCCCCGTCAACATTTAAATATAAAAAAATGGGATAGATTTTGAAAAAAAAGTTGTGGGCTGAAAGCAGGACATTTGTATCATCGTCCACAATGACATCCCAAATTTACTCTAAAGAGTGTCGCTGCCTTTCATTCAACTTCCCACATAACTTACCAAATTTTGACCTCAACCATGAAATGGTATCTGGATAATAAAGTGGATGTGATCACAAAATATATCCGCCTTACGGGCTCCAGCTACGCCCCATATTTTGAACGATTGTAAAAGCCAAGTTAAAGAAAAAAATGGAAGCATTTTAAAGGAAAACCATTCATTGAAGACATGTTCGAAAATTCTTACACAACAAGGAACTAGAGAGGTTTAATAAATATGCTTTCTTTCAAGATAAAAACTACCGAAATCTTAGTTTTGTTTTAGAAGTTACTGACATTTTTTAGCACACAGATTTTAATTGAGTCATGCGTGTGGGGCGTTCCATACCAAAACGGACGGGGTTCACACTTCATGTGTTTAATTTGTTTAAAATTTTTAGGGTTGATGCATAAACGTAAATAATAAATAAATATGAAATTTGAGCTTGATTAATACATGTTTAAAAACTTTACAACACAAAATCAAGAACAAATACATTTAATAGTTTTCCAAATATCTCGAGAACGGGGCGAGGAAAAAATTTTAACAAAATCACACATGCAAACATCAAAATTCTCTAAGAAAAGAAAAATTAAAAAAAAATGTTTCATACAATTTTTTTTTTTATAAAAAAATAGTTTTTTAAAATATGCAATCTAAAAAAAATAATCAAAAATCACAATGGTAGCTCTGAGTATTGCGCAATATTTAAGTATATTATTGCGGGGTGCACTCTACAATAATTTGAGTTATGATTTTTTTTACACCGAACTTTTTCGAATAACAAAGTGCAAGGTTTAAGCTAGTGCAAAATTGCATTGATTTTTAACATATTTTATGCGAAAAACCATTTTCAAACAAAATTAGCGTCAGTTTTGAAATCGCTTAAAACTTGCACTTTATTATATAAAAATTTAATGGGCTACAAAACCACATACTCAAAACCGCATATTAAAAAAAAAAACTAAAAAAAAATATGTAAATTTGTAATGTACTCATTTTACTCAACTTCGGTGTAAAAAAAATTATGACTCAAATTATTGTAGAGTGCACCCCATAATATTATTCTTAAATATTGCGCAATGCTCAGAGCTACTGTGTGATTTTTATCTATTTTTTTTTGAGATGACATATTTTCAAAAACTATTTTTTTGTGTTTAAATTTGTATGTGAAAAATTTTTCAAGAAACATTTTTTTAATATTTCTTTTCATATAGAATTTTGATGTGTGTATGTGTGATTTTTATTTAATTTTTCCTCGCCCCGTTCTTGAGATATTTGGAAAAATATTAAATCGATTTGTCTTTGTTTTTGTGCTGTAAAATTTTTTAAAATGTATTCAGCAAGCTCAAATTTATTTATTTATTATTTATGTTTATGCATCAACCGTACACGCCCCATATTTACCTTTAGTCTTTTTCATCAAATGAAAAAGTAAACTTCCTTTATTCAGCGTTCAATTATTTACAAAAAAAAACTTGTACCTATGTATTTTGTAAACACGTATCCTTATATTAACTTACAACTACCGGCGAATATAATATGAAAAGATTATTACAAAACGTTTTTGAGTTTCTTTAGAAAAAGTGAAAAATGTAGTCCACACATCCCCTTCGAGCGTATAAAATGTGTAAAGCTTACGTTCCAATGGAAAAAGAAAATTTGTATTCTTGTATTTATTAAGACTTGTTTAAGTAAATTAAGAAGCTGTGTAGATATGCGTATATATTTGCCCTAAAGAAGCTTTTGTCAACTTATGGGCCAACAAAAGAAAAGCAACAACTAAAGTAAAGAAACTTTATGAGTATTGTTTGGCTACTGTATTAAATACACTAAACAGGATGAAGTTTTCGTTACAGCTTGTTGAGTTTTCGATACGTGACTTGAAATTTTTTAAGTTTTCCAAGGATAATTGAGTCATGGGCTTATCTGTGAATATATGTATACATATACCGCACACCGCTTTCAAAAGGTTCATATTTTGCCAAAACTCAATGGACTCCTATAAGAGCGCTGCAGGAAGTAAATAAAAACCCAGACAAGTTTACATACATATGTACATATGTTTTTTGTATATTGCTTGTACATAAATTCAAACTTGAACCTGTAATTTTACATATGGGTGTTTCCATGAAAATGTCAACCAGGACTGAAAAAATAAAAACAACTGAAAAGGGTTTTTAAGACGAATTAATAAGAGAAAGATACTCGAATTTTTATATTATAGAAGTATTTCAGCTTATTGGAATTTTAAAACTCAAAAATGGAAGAGTAAAACTGAATGTCCCTTCGACTCAGTTTTCTCTAATGAAATGAACTATTTTCTCTTTCCTATTAACTAAATTAAGAGATTTGAAACATTACAATTACATCTTAAAATCAAATTTGCAATAACAACTAACTATAAAAATGAGAAAAAGGAGAAGTTAGAGCTCGAATAACGGTAATTTTTTGATTTGCTTCTGATAGTATTCTAATGTCGCGTACGTTATGCAAAAACATTGTTTGTCTATGTCATTTGTATATTGGCAGTCGCAGGTAATGCAGATTACAATTCTTAAGCGAGAATTCTTCCAGTTAAAGATATACAGTAAAATTTTCTTTCCAACCGAAGTAAAAAAAATTTTAT